TTCTATTCTATTCTATTCTATTCTATTCTATTCTATTCTATTCTATTCTATTCTATTCTATTCTATTCAAATGTCTGCAAACGCACCAAGGATACTATTGTTCAACTTTGAACTCCATATATTCTCTTCTATTGGAAAAACTAGGACATCTCCCCTATTTCATTTTCCATCTGCGAAGCTCCAGGTACTACAGTGGTGAATATTTTGGAGTGTTTTCACAACACGATAAGAGTGCTCTGCCAATTTTTACACGCTTACTGTGTGGAAGAATATTTTTTGCTCATATTAATACCGGGACTCTGCAGAGGTGCAGCCCAAAAGTGTATCATTCTGGTGAGAAAAAAAGACTCTCTTAAATTTAATCTCCTGGGAGAGTTTAAATCTTGCATCTGCATATGGCTTAAGCTAGTTCTCTCAGAACTTTTTCTGTGTGACCTAGTCTTCCCTGGATAAATGCTGACAGATCAGAAACATGGTCAGTAGCAATTATTATGATCCCAGAGTAATTTGAGGAATTCTTGCTGTTATTTATAAATATAAAAATATATTCTTCAGTATATTATGAAAGTTTTTACTTTTTCATGTTTAAGAGCTTCCAATCTAGGTCTGTTATTTGAATATATGGGATCCTCTTTTTATTTATTTTTGTTTTATTTTGTTTTCAACATTTGAATCTACTGTCCCAAACCCTCAAATTAGATAGTATACTTAAATATTCCTAAGCATATGTCTTATGGCGTTAAAAGTATTTATTTAGGATTAACTCAGTACTTTCAGGGAAAAGCTTCCAAACATATGATTTATAATAGTTTTTTTTATCATGCATACATTGATGGAGAAATGAGTTTATGAATCAGCACCTGCAAATATTAAATGAAGTAGAAATTCATCTGTTCCAGCATTATATATTCCTCACACAGGAGCAAATGTCATGACTACATGTATGAAAATCAAGCATATTTTGTCCAACTTGCATCTTGGAAAGAAACCTTGTCCATTATTTGAGAGCAAAAAGAGAAACTTCAAGCAATATCCTATGAACAAATTTTCAATTCCCCTTGTTTCCTGCTGTATTGTGAGACCAAAGGAGGTAATCAAAGGAAAAGGACAGTTCCTTAGCTGGCTAGGCCCTGAGTCACAGAGTTTTATGTGTGACAACCAACACCTTGAATTGTATCTAGATGTCAACTGATTACCACTATAGTTGATGAAATAGAACTCTCATATAGGCAAAACAGTTTATATATCACCTTCTGGATCAACTTTTGTTTTCAAGTAATCTTCAAAAGTAGCTCCATGTAGAACTCATTGCAGTAGTTCATTTAGAGATGACCGAGAGA